AAATCATGTAATTTGGTATTTTTGGAGGGCTTCATTAATTTAAAAGTGTAAAATAAATAAATAAAAAAAGTACAACTGAAAAAGGTACAACCAATTGTATGGAGAATTAAACTAAATCCAATTTTGTAAGATGCATTAAATATTGATTAGATTTTATATGAAAAATAAAATAAAAAATAACTGGAATAGTTTTACGTGTTGTAATATTTTATATTTAAAAAAATTAAAAAAAAATCTTCTTTTACGTATTGCATACCAATATCTTAGGAACTACATGGATATTCCTAAATTAATATTGCATACTCAATATTTTAGGAACTAATTAAATGCTAATTTGATTTGCATACCAAAAATATTAGATGCATTAATTAAATGCTTGATAAAAATAACAAATCATTAATTAGGATTGACTATTTTACATACTGCATTTAGTAAATAGTATAGCTTTTAATATAAGTATAGATTAGGCGTACATCACTTTTGGTTTCACAATCTTTTGTTAGAAAGTTAATTAAATAATATTAATACATCTAATTTACTCCCCACAATTAATTTGACCACATATTAATAACAAAATGTGATTAGCGTATTTTGTACTTAATTTTTACTTAAATGATATTATGTACTATTATGTGGTATAATTGGCATTAAAAAAAATAAAAGAGTAATTAAGGAGGTAAGATGTGTAGCAAGCGTGCATGGGGGTAATTTTCTCAATAAGATGCATTTGTTACCCAATAATGCGTTTATGTTTTGGGAGGAATAATAAATTGAAAAAAAAGAAAAAAAAAAAAAAAAAAAAAAAAAAAAAAAAAAAAAAAAAAAAAAAAAAAAAAAAAAAAAGATACTCTCGCACATGTATCGTACACACTAGACAATAAATATTCTTTAAAATTACAATATGTGCCCATTCACTTTTTAAATAATATATAAAGAGAAATCTCATTTCTTAAACTATTAAATTATTCATGGTTATAAAATTTCGGAAAAAAAAAAATTAATATCATATTCTAACTTTACATCATTTTCTCTTTTGATACCTGAAGTTAGACTTGTCAAAAAAAGCTCCGCCCCATCCAAAGAATTGGACAGAGATGCTACATGCCCGCTAGAGCACGAGCCACCTCATGCAGGCCGCGGGCAATAGCAGGGCGGGCCAGCCCACGCAGGCCGTGGGCTTTGGTTGGGCGGCCCGCTAGTCCATCTTTAATTAAATAAAATAAATAGTTTGATTTTGTAAGTTGGAACAAAAACAGTCAAGACTTTTTTTTAATTTGGTAAATCCCAATTCACTTTTGCACACATAAAATCACAAGTCTTCATATTGCAACAAAAAATGCACTTGCCCATACCAAAAATTAGAAATGTTAATCCAACTTTTTCTCCCATAATGTGACCTAATCACTTCCCAAGACCCAAACCCTAGCGACAAGCGGTTGTAGGTTCGACTACCTATTCCCCAACGCAATATTCGAGCACGACAGTCGAGGACGACAATGAGCTGTTGCAGCTTCCTTCAGACGGCAACGAGAAACTGAGATAGGAAGATAGACCCGCAGGGCGGTGGCAACCAAAAGAGAGACATGTTGGCGCCGAGTCGACGACAAATGGGGAGACTCGACGACGACGTGGCCGCCCGTTGAATTTGAGGAGAAGCGGGTAGCCGTCGCCGGCGGAAAGCGTCACAATTCAGGCGGCGGCAACACCAACGGTTGCTGTGGGCAGCACTGGGTGGTGCATCGGTGTGAGGTTGGAGGAAAAAAGATTGAATGTGTGTGCACGCGCGCATGTATGTGTGTGAGAGAGAGGATGATGGGGTAGGGTGGATAGGGGTGGTTGGTTTAACTAACCAACTGATTTTTTGCTCATACAAATCCTTTATAATTGCATAAATAGTTTCTATTAATGCTCGATTAATATTTTCTGGAACTAATTATTTGATCATAATCATTTGTATTTGTAAAAATTACATTATTCATTACATTACGATTCTGTCAATATTTTTTACCATTAGATACACATATAAATTAAGTAGGTAGATAATATTCGAAAAAAAAAAAAAAAGAAAAAAAAAAACTGAGGTAATATAGTAATTCCCCATTCGATTTGCCCATCACTATTCCACGATTCAAACGCGTTCGTTTAGTGTGTATCTTCGAATTGAAGTTATCAACTTCTTCACATAATATTTATCGGAGATGGGTTTTCGTGCACTGATGAATTCCATAGACTGGGAGCAAGAATCTTACCCAAAATACGAGGATTTCGTTGCGCTTTCCTTCTTCGCTCTGTTTTTCCCTACAGTTCGATTTTTGCTCGACAGATTCATCTTTGAGGTTCTATTCTCAAATTTCTGTACTATTTTTGTTTCTTTTACCGATTTTGCAATCTGGGCTTCTCGTATTTTGCTTTAATATTATCACAGAAGTCGTTTGATTGTACTGTGAACTTGCTGTACCTTCTCGGGATTTGGTGGGTGGCCCATTTGGATTTATGCTTTCATTTGATGGTTTCTTGTTAGTATAATCAGTTTTTGCAGGGTTAATGCAGTTCTAGCCAGTGCAAGTTTTGATTTTTAAAAGTGCTTTGGTATATTGGCTTTATGATTTGATTGACTGCCATTTGTTTGGTATGGTTTTGTTAATCGTCGAGTAGGAGACTGTTCGGAAAAAAAGGTTGAATTATGAAGCTCCCGAGTATAGGTTCATGTGCTGAAATGTGATGTCATGTTAAAATTCAGTTCCTCCTTAAGAATTAAGATTTTGGTTTTTATTAAGGATGTAAAAGAAGAAGAGCTCGGCTGAATGAAGTCGTACACGCTGTTTTTGTCCCGGGAGTGTCTTGTGAATCCTTTCAAACTAATTTTGTGTTGACAAATTTCATCTATACAAGAATTAAGTTTAGTTGCCTGTTACTTACTCAATAAGGTATTTCTGTGAGGTTTACTAAGTCCTGAGTTGTGTGGGCTCACGTCTAACTGAAGTTATTCTAATTGTCGAACAAAACTTTTAAGGTTTAAGTTTGGCTTGTTGGTTGGAATAGTAAAAGATGTTTTCTAGCATTTGTTCCATCTATTCTAGTAACGTTATTTATGAGTATCTAAGCCGAGCTCATATTGCTCCATCTATTCTAGTAACTTGAAATTAATTTCCTGTCAGTGTATTGTCTGCTGTAGTCCCATACTACCTCGTTTGCCCTCTCACTCAAAATAACACATGAAAATGGTACAATTATGTAATATACAATTATGAGGGTGAGCCATGAGCGAAAAAATTGATCTAACTGCTGCATTTTTCTCTTATATTTTTTTGTGTCTGATCATACAGATGAGATTTTCCGAAAGTTTGATAATTGAACCGCCAAATATTTTCTTTCTTAGCTTCGAGGACATTTTTTTTGGCTCGACATTGACTGATTTTTTACATGTTGTAGAAAGTTGGAAGGCGACTATTATACGGAAAGTGTACTCAATTGGTGAAAAACGAAACAGATGAACAAAAGAAGAAGATGAGGAAGTTCAAAGAGTCAGCATGGAAATGCATCTATTATCTTTCTGCTGAGATACTTGCACTTGCAGTGACATACAACGAGCCTTGGTTCGCAAAGACTAAATATTTCTGGGTGGGTCCCGGAGATCAGGCCTGGCCTGACCAAGCATACAAGTAAGATTTTCTCTCTTCTGTTTATTTTTGTTAAAGGGGTTTCCGTTTTATCTTATTACCAATATCTCTTGCTCATTATTTGTTCAGTTCAGGTTGTGCTGAAGTCTTCATTGACAGTATCGTGAATTTATATATATTTGTTTTTTTGAATTCATGATATATATTCCATTTCTTTGTGGATATTCAGGCTGAAACTGAAGGGCCTCTATATGTTTGCTGGTGGATTCTATATATACTCCATATTTGCTCTTATATTTTGGGAAACAAGACGCTCGGACTTTGGGGTCTCTATGGGCCACCACGTGGCAACATTCATTCTCATTGTGTTATCATATGTATTCAGGTGTGTTTGTAATAAAAGAGATGATATCGTGCTATTCTTTTTTTTTTAACAAAAAAAAAATTAAGATAGACAAAAAAGAAAAAAATAACATAGAAACAAAGAAGCCAGTTTAAATGGGAAGGACTATTGTAATACCATAAAATTCACATCTCGATTCTTTGTTTTGTACAGTTTGGGGATATCAAATTTATTATTATGCTAATCTGTTCTTATGTTTTCTTTTTCATTTTATCTTAAGGTTTGCTCGTGTGGGTTCTGTTGTTTTAGCCCTTCACGACGCGAGTGATGTGTTTCTTGAAGTTGGGAAGATGTCGAAATATAGTGGGGCCGAAGCAGTTGCTAGCTTCTCGTTTGTTCTCTTTGTGTTGTCTTGGGTCGTGCTTCGTCTTTTATACTACCCGTTCTGGATTCTATGGAGCACAAGGTCTGTTATTTTTTTTCTTTTTGTAGTTTGTACGATATCTATACATTGCTTTATGCATTTTATATTCCATGTAATTACGGGCTCCCCTTTTTTTTCATAATAAAAATAAAAATTAAGGCTTTAAGATAAAAGTTAAAACAACAACAAGTAAGGCTTTGCTTTCTTTTTGTACTGAGTTATGCATGAGAATTACTACATGTAATTTATGCCAAGTTTGTTTTATATATAGTATCGATAAGGGAAAAACTCTATTCTAATTTGCTATGCAGTTATGAAGTTATTCACTACTTGGATAAGGAGAAACACAAAATCGATGGACCAGTCTATTACTACGTTTTCAATTTCCTTCTTTTCTCGTTACTCGTTCTCCATGTATATTGGTGGGTTTTGATGTACCGGATGCTCGTCAAGCAAATCCAAGCAAGAGGGCATGTCAGTGAAGATGTTAGGTCCGGTAAGTGATATTCAAAAGCCACTGATCAATTGCTTGTTATCATTACCATTGTTATCGTTTTCTCCTGTTGTTGTTTTTCTTTTTTTTTTTCCTTGTTCCTTCTGAATCACAGCAAAAATGAAACAAGTTTAGAAACTTAAAGAGTAAAATAATAATGAGTTAGTTGTTTTCCCATAGCTATATCCCTTTATTTATCTTTTTTTTTTTTTCAGATTCCGAGGATGAAGATGAGCACGAGGATTAGAAAATGAAAACTTTCTTCACTGCCGAAGGTTGTGAAGATGAACAGTACATAGTAGGAGATAAATCTGAATAACTACGCTTTATTTACACTTTCAAGTAAGCATATAGTAGTTTCAAGGGATTTAGAGAAGCTTTCTTTTATCTCTTTTTTTTTCACAAAAGGTTAGGTGGGTCAACCCGTCGTACCTTTTGATCATAAGTACAAATGCGTACTTGTACCGTAAAATGACATACTTAAACAATTTCTTCACAAGTGTGACATTCGAATATGAAAATGTGCATATTTGTAAAAAAAAAAAAGTCATTTGCCTAACGGTTGGGCATTGTTAGGTCTACCCATACAGCAACCGTAGTGTTTGTTGTTATGTTGTGTTTGTTGTTATGTTTATTTTCTTCATTTGCAGGTTAAGTAGTATACATTTGCAGGAACTGATATTTTCTCTTCAATGCAGAAGATCCTCTCGACCCGAGAACATGAAAACATTGAAAACCGAAAATCAAGTCAATGTGGCTGGTCGAGGACCTGTGGCGATTTGTGAATAAAAATTTCGGTTGCACGAAATTTACCAAGTTTTGACTTTGTAGTACAAATTTTGCACCATTGGGTTTAATACCCCAAAATATTATTAACATTCAACCTTATGCAAGATAAATTTAGTTAGTTATTTTGGGTTCACTTTTGTACCTTTTCTAAAATTTTTCAGTGTATGTTTTGTCATTTTATGTAAGTTTTGTAAATGTGTTTGAGCTAAATTTTTTTAAAGAGATTTTGAGCTAATTTAAACTTAGAGCTTAAAATTGCACGGAAAACTTACATGGTTAAGGTTTATTCAATTCGATTTAAAAGTTACGTATATGATAATATATGTGTGCGATACCAATCAATCTTTCCAAAGAGGCACATGTGCTTCCGGGCAGCAGCAAATACATCTTTACAGCAACAGCAGCTTTTGCTCCATCGATTTTTACACATCTTTACAACTTACTTCAACATCATTTAACACAGCAATAACACAACAGTGGCTTTCGGATTGATCGAATTTTACACATTTTGAAAAACTTAAAATCCGCGTGTCCTCCCAAAGAGGCCGTATACATATGTTTTCCGGGTAGCAGAATATTTGCTCTCTCGCATTTGGTTTTGTGGACTTGGACAGTCTTGGCATACCTGTCGACACAAAACCCACTTCAAGTAACAAATCTAATGGTGACAAAATGACAAATTTGATCAATACTTCTAACACGATTATTGTGAGTGACAAGAATTATAATGCCGCAATTGAAACTCTCCAAACACAAGAACATACAAGCCGAGCCAAAAACAATAAGAAGAAACGTCTTTAGACTGCTCCTCGAAACTATATGAAGAAATCAAACAACTATTGTTCTACTTACTTCTCTGCTGTGACCATCTTAGTAAGAACACTAATATCTCCAAAGCACGATAAGATTTCACATAAGTACAAAGCTTCTATAACTGGCAACACATTTGTGTGCTTAACTTTGAACATCATACCATTTTGGATTCTTTGCACTCGATTTCATTTCTCCAAAACGGCTAATCCTATGTCACGGATTTTCATATGAAATGACGAAAACGGGAGTCATACTTGTACACACCTGAACATAACAGAGACCGAAGTCCAGTTTAACCCAATCAATTCTACCTACATGGTAAAGACTGCAAATTTACTACATTATACAAAAAATAAACAAACAAAAGAAATAACTTATTTCAAAACAAGCTCACCTTACACCACATTTAAACCGGAACCAAACTCTCGACATAAACATCCACTTCCAAGAACAAACCCACATTACTCATCCCTGGCCGCCTGAAACAATTAGCTCTCGGGTCATAAACCACAAGATTCAAACCCACGGCCAAAAGAACTTCGCCACTCGGCAGCACAGTCAATGGCTTCGTATGCAAGAAATTCCTCGGGTCCTCAACGTAAGGAATCGTGACCACTTTATACCAAGAATCTTCATTCCCATACTCCCTCAAAACCCACACGTCGGTGCGGACCTTCTCAAAGTCACAAACGACACAGAGGCAATCTCCCAAAACCCCCAAAGAAGAACCCATTCCTCCATCTCTGTACTCCGGCTGCCCGACAGTCCCGTAAGCCTCGTTCCTCAAGTCAAGAGACACAATGTCCCATCTCCGCTCACCGAGCCCAGGTGTGGCCGGAAAATGAAGTCTCCCGCTGGCGAATTTACCCGTGTCGTCAAGGGGGATTCCTCCTTTGAAATCCTCAATCATTTTCCATGAATTGGCCTTCAAACTATAGATCATTACAGTAGACTTGTGCAGGCCCCCATTTCCAAACTCACAGAAAATGCCCACCACCTTGTAATCGTCGTCTACCTCGTCATGGCCGAAGCCCCATATGTAGTAAAACCCCTGCCTCAATTTAATGGCCACGGGGGGCAGTTTCCTGTGTTCTCCAGTCGCCGGGTTCCATAAAAACATGTCCTTCTCGTCCATGGCGAGACAGACCAACCCGTTGACGGACCCGACGACCCAAACGGCGCTGTACGGGTCTTCCTTCGGGTACTCGATGTTGCTCGCAGCTGTGAGTGGGTCGAAGAACACGGATTTGATCGAACACTGCTTCAGGTCGAAATTAGGGTTGCAGATCGTGAGCATGAGGCGGTGGTTGGCCATAGTTGGGCTGCTGGCCGAGATTCCGAGGTGGGCCTTGATGAATTGGGAGCTGGAGATAAGGGCGAGCCATGATTTGGAGACGGACCTGAATCTCAGGAGGGATTTGACGGGGAGGCGCAGGAGGATTTCCATGGTGATTTCCGGCGGGAGGTCGAGGGCTTTGATCCGGTGCGTGGATCTGGGCTTCTTGGGATGGATTAGGGTTTGGGGATTTGGCGGAATTTTTTGAGCTTCCATTGTTGAGAGATATTGCTGGTTGGAGGTGGGGCGGAGAAGAAGATGAGTACTCCTTTGTGGAAAGGAAGCAAAAATAGGCAAGTTCTACAACACGGTTCTTGGTTTTCGGTCTTTGATTTGTTTGTCTTTTGTTGTTTTCGTTTCCCTTTAGTTTGTGTTTTGTATGTATGTGTCAGTCTCTGTGTTGTTTTGTGTTTTTGTTGTGTTTGAATTGTGTTTTCTCCTGTGTGTAGGAGCGTGTTATACTTTCGTTGGGGAGCTGTGTAGTGTGGTTCGTTGAACTGTGTGTGTGAGTTAGTGTAAATTCTTCCAGACTACCTTTGTGTAGGTCCCCTCCATTCAGCTATTTAGCTGCTTGGCTGTTATAGCTGTTTTTAGTTGTAATTATGTGACTTTTATTTTATATAAATTCTTCGTTTCTAACTTATATTACTCATTTGATTACTAACTTCATATATTATGTTTTGGCCCTACTTATTTTAAAGCTCTTTGTTTGAAACGCCTCTCTTCAAGTTTCTAACTTACCATTTACCCTCTCTCTCTCGTCTCATTTACTAATACTATGTCATGCGCAAACAACATGCAGTTCATGACATCCAATTGCAAATGATGCGTAAGTTCACCAATTACTAATGCAAAGAGATACGTGCTAAATGTTGAACCTTAATGCATACTAATAGTGATAGGAAATTCATCCGATATCCCTTCATTGTTGATCTTCCCCGCATAAAACTAATATAGTTTTTTATTATGTATGTTGCTTGCCTTTGTTAGTTTATATTAATCTCTCCTAAAATTTCATAGCGTGACACGTTAGTTATATGCTCTGTAGTTTGCACAATTAAAAATTTTCTCAATTGTGGAACTAATTTATGACACAATTCCTTTTTGTCAATCACCTTTATATCATCACAAGAACTTTTCAACAACAAAAGAGAGAGCACACAAAATTCTCCACATTTCTTGCCAGATACTGTTACATCAGAACAAATCATACTATAATCTCTTTTTTTCTCGAAACTTTCATGGCACACAAACTATTCGACAAAATGTCTGTGTGAAAAAAAA